AAAAAAAAAAAAGAGGAGTTGGGCAGAGAAACAAGGGAGACAGGGCCAAGTGTGGGTTATCAAGGCCACCAGAAGCTGGGCGTGGAGGCATTTGCCTGTAATCCCAGCAACTCAGGAGGTTGAGGAGGAGGATTTTGGGTTCAAGGCCAGCAATTTAGCGAGGCCCTAAGGAATTTGGTGAGACACTTATCAAAATAAAACATAAAAAAGGGGGCTGGGGATGTACCTCAGCATTTTCTTTAGTACTGGGAATTGAACCCAGGGGCATTCTACTGAGTTACTGGGCTAAGGAATTTGGTGAGACACTTATCAAAATAAAACATAAAAAAGGGGCTGGGGATGTAGCTCAGCATTCAGTCCCCAATACAAAAAAAAAAAGCCACCAGAGGGAGGAAGGAAGTTGTGACCATGAGTCCAAGAGCATAGGTTCCCCAGAACATCCCTTCCTGGCACTACAGGGAAAGGTGGGTGCCACTTGGGTAGACATGGACATGGCTCTACCTGTGCCTCAGAGGAAACAGACTATCTTGCCCCAATATAGTTTATTATTACAAAAAAAATGTAATGTTCTGCTACTAGAGATTGAGTACTTTATTCTCCATGCAATTAGGAGATACTGAAGGATTTGATTTTTCTTTCTCCCTTTGGAAGATGGAATTCATGGTTGGATCACTCTGCACATTAGACAGAAGTAGGTAAGTGTGGGTCAAAGATTCTAAGTCAAACCAGGTGTGGTATCATATGCCTGTAATTCCGGCAGCTTGGGAGACTAAGGCAGGAAGATCACAAGTTGGAGGCCAGCCTCAACAACGTAGTGAGGCCACAAGCAACTTGGTGAGACCCTTTCTTAAAATAAAAAAAAAAATAAAAAGGGCTGGGGATGTGGCACAGTGGTAAGATTCCAAGTCATGACAAAATATTTTCATTAGGATCTTTGGGGTACATAAAGATACCTTGCCACATTCCTCCTTCTCTTTCTTCCCCTTCTTCTATTCCTCCCCCTCTACTCCCTCTGCCTCCTGCCATGTGACAAATTCAAATTTTGTGAATTTTCTGACCCAAATTCAGAATATGTGAGACTTTGGATTTGCTTGACCCCCACAAACAGCCTTCCCCTCCCACCAAGCCTGAGGCCCAGTGTGCATGAATATGTCTTTTTTCTTTAGTACTGGGAATTGAACCCAGGGGCATTTTACTGAACTACTGAGCTACATCCTCAGACCTTTTTATTTTTTTTTTATTTGAGACAGGGTCTCCATAAGTTGTCTAGGGCCTCACTAAGTTGCTGAGGCTGGCTTTGAACTTGTGATCCTTCAGTCTCAGCCTCTGGAATGACTAGAATTACAGGATGTGTCCTTGTGATAAGGATCCAAATTACTTTTTCTCTTTTACCTTGCAGTCTTAGTTTTGTTTTTCCATAGTTTTTAGTTGATTCTAAAACATCTTTGTTCCAAGTAGAGAACTAGAAAAAAAATGCAGGGACAAGTGATAAAAGAAAGTAGATTTTATTACAAGAAAAGAGTTCTGAGCCAGGCTCACACCTGTAATCCCAGCAACTGGGGAAGCTGAGTCAGGAGGATAGCAAGTTGGAGGCTAGCCTCCACAACATAGCAAGACCCTGTCTCAAACTAAAAATGGCTGAGGATGTAATTCAGTGGTAGAGTACCCCTGGGTTCAATTTCCAGAAAAAGAAAGGGAGAGACAGAGACAGAGAGAGAAAAGATCTGAGCTTTGCTCACCAAAAATACATTCAGTAAATAATACATTTTCCCAACTCTATCTAAGGGAATGGTATTTTATTGGAGAAACTTTAGGCCTCTGACAAAGGAGACATCTCTGTAGGGGTAGGCAAGTAGAAGGAGGGCACAGTTCTCAAGACTATCAACATCTCACAATGCACTTATTATGTACCCTTGTCAACTTTGGGTAATTTGCTATGGAGTAGACAGGTTGAAGATTGGCCCTTCTCTACAAATGTGGGTTTCTCTCCATTTTGTTTGCAAGGAACTGAAGTTTCACCCAGCTCTGATACACTTCTTAGAATTCCTCACCCTTAGGCATCCTAATCAGACAGCAGGTAGGGAGTTCACAGTCTAACATTTGAGTGTTGTCTGCCTAGTGTAAGGGTAACGATGCTAACAGCTCAACTAGCACCCTTTAGAGTATAGCTTGTAGCCGGGCACGGTGGTGCACACCTGTAATCCCAACAGCTTGGGAGGCTGAGGCAGGAGGATCGCAAGTTCAAAGCCACTCTCAGCAACTTAGCAAGGCCCGATGCAACTCAGCAAGACCCTGTCTCTAAATAAAAATAAATAAATAAAAAGGGTTGGGGATGTGTCTCAGGGGTTAAGTTCCCCTAGTTCAATCCTCGGTACCAATAAAAAAAAATAGTCCTAGAGTATAGTTTGTGCTTTCCCCCACCCCACCCCTGACTACTGGGTAATTGAACCCAGGACTCTGGGCATGCTAGACAGGTTATCTACCACTGACACACCCCACAGCCCAGATCTTACTCTTTCTATCCACTTACCCTATACTTAGAGTTTCACTAGATATATTCTTCCCTTCTTAGTTGTCTTCTCTTGCGTGTTTTTTTGTTTTTGTTTTGTATTGTTTGTGAGTGTGTGTGTGTGTGTTAGTTTTGTTTTTGTTTTGCATTTTGCAGTGCTGTGATGGAACCCAGGGCCTCTGTATGCTAAGCAAGTGCTCTACCACCAAATTACATTCCCAGCCCTTCTCCTGCTTGTTTTGACTTGTAATTCCCTTCACCCTTATAATATCATTTGAGCTGCTTTCTATTTTTAAAGAATTCTTCACAAATCATGATCCTCAGATGGCATCCTCTCTTGTTTTCAATATTTGGTGAAATATTTTGTCTTCTGAGAGAATTGGTGGGGACAGAGACAAGATTGCCTGGTTCTTTGGGCAAATTTGTACTAGGGATTGAATCCACTTCTACCACAGAGCTACATCCCTAGCCCTTTTTTAAAGTTCTTAGTAAAATTGTTATAGTTTGATTGCATCATGTCCATAGAATGTCACTTGTCATTTTTCTACATTTGGGAGAGAGATATCAAGACTGTTCAGGACACTGATGCACAGTTGACACACAGCTGTAATCCCAGTGATTTGGGAGTCTGAAGATTGCAAATTTGAGGCCAGCCACAGTAATTTAGCAAGGCCCTAAGCAATTTAGCAAGACCCCGTCTCAAAATCAAAAATAAAAAGGGCTGGATATGTAGCTCATTGGCAAAGCTACCCTAGGTTTAATCC